TGAGGTCAGGAATTCAAAGCTACATCTGCGTTGTGATCAGGGGAATGGAGACCCTCTGCCTCGAGCGCCCTCAGCAGGCTCTTTCTATTGCCTGGCGTGCGCATTAGCCAGCTTGGGTGGGGGACTGAGTAACAGAGATGTATCCCCTTACCCTTCTCAAGACCGGAAGTCTGGGATCAAGGTGTTTCCTTCTGAGGCCTCTCTTTGGCTGTAGCTGGCTTCTCCTCCCTGTGTGTGTCTGTGTCCTAATCTCCTCTGCTTGTAAGGACACACGCCATATTGGATTAGGACCCATTCTAAAGACATCATTTTAATTTAATCACTTTTGTAAAGATCCTGTCTCTAAATGCAGTCTCATTCTGAGGTACTGGGAGTGAGGGGCTTCGACATAGGGATTTTGGGGGGACAAAGCCAGCCCATAGCACCAGGGTGTAGATAAGTCGTTAGAGGTGAGTCCTTGATTTTCCCGCTTCGCCATGGGAGAGTTCAGAGCACTAGAACTTGCCTGATTTTGATGCAAAGAAGCTGGATGCTGAAGAGGACACATGTGGGTTGTTGGATGCCTCTGCAGGGTCAGCTACTGGCCCTCCCAAGAGCCAGGGAAGAGCACTGGATGGGAGTCCCCAAAAAACACGTGGAGGCCAGGTGCAATGGCTCATGCCTGTAATCCCAGTGCTTTGGGAGGCCAAGGTGGAAGGATGATGTGAGGTTGGGAATTCAAGGCTGTGGTGAGCTATGATCATGCCACTGCACCCTGTCTGTAACACACACACACACACACGCACACACCTCACACACACCACACACACACACACCACACAGATGCAGGCACACACAGACATACACCTCCATCAAGGATCATTCTACTCTGTCCCGGGGTTCTTCTGGGCACCACTGGTTTAGGATGGAATCTTCCAGGGAAGAGCATAAACCCAGGTGGCCGAGAGCTCCGTTCACCCCGGCCTTGTGAGCCCTAACCCACCCTCTTCCCAGAGCCCCAGGCCCTTCCAGACCACAGTGGGTCTGAGCCCCCAGCCCCAGCCCCTTCCAGGTTCAATTCTCCGTATCTCGCCTTCTTCCCCTCCGAGTGACTCCTCATCTCCCCAGCAAGGACACTGGGTCCTGGTCTTGGAGACCTTCCTGGAGAGCCAGCGGTTTTCAGAGGTGGGCAACCCTGGTTCTCCAGGTTTCTATCCATAAAGCGATTCTCGGTCCTCCCATTCAGGGGCAGGCCAGGATCAAGGGCAGCTCCTCACAACGGCAACCCCCCATTCTTGTTTGTGTCAGACTTTGTAGCCTTTCTCAGACACTATCTCATTTAGTATTCACTACGGCTTCCTCTTTAGTTCCATTTTACAAATGGAAAAACTGAGGCCCAGAGAGGTGAACTGTCTGGCTCAGGGTCACACAGTGGGGAAGTGGGTGGAGCCAGGGCAGGCACCCAGGGCTGTCTGTCCACGTGCCCCTACCATTCTCAGGACTGCCTTCCCCGTGGCCACTGTCTCCGGGGGAGGGGTAGGAGGGGGAATCGTGCTTAAGCGTGGGTGACGGGAGGAAGGGGAAACAAGGCCACAGGCTCGAGAACTGGCTCTCAGGAATGCCACCGAGATTCCTTCGAGTTAATACATATCATCCCACAGGGCTGATCTCATAGATATCATTAGATCCTGCGATATCCACCCAGCCTGCCGGAGCCCTGGACGTGAGAAACTCTGTATCCTGTTCCCAGCCACAGCAGGTGGAAATAGTGTGAACTAATGAAATATCACAGCTGAATGCTTGCCTTCTGGTAGGTGGCACCTAAGAGATTGCTGGCCCACACACACTGCCCTCCTCCCCTCCACCAGCTGGGAGGCCAGAGCGGACTTCGGGGAGAGCACTGGGCATGAGTGGAGGCAGACAGACCAGGCTCTGGTCCTGGTGAGCTGCGTGACCTTGGGCAAGTGACTTGATTTCTCTGAACCTCAGCTTGGTTTATCTGTAAAAAGCTTTCATCTGTAAGCTGGGCGCAGTGGCTCATGCCTGTAATCCCAGCACTTTGGGAACCCGAGGCGGGCGGATCACGAGATCAGGAGTTCAAGACCAGCTTGGCCAGCATGGTGAAACCTCTCTACTAAAAATACAAAAAAATTTGCTGGGCATGATGGTACGTGCCCATAATCCCAGCTACTTGGGAGGCTGGGGCAGGACAATTGCTTGAACCTGGGAGGTGGAGGTTGCAGTGAGCAGAGATTGTGCCACTACACTCCAGCCTGGGCAACACAGTGAGACTCCATCTCAGAAGAAAGAAGAGAAAAGTTTTCATTTGTATAAAAAAGAAAATGGGATCTACTCAGGTAACATAAATGTTACTGTAACTATGTGGTTGTGCTCAGCTAAAGACCACACCTCATTTTAGGGGGTAGAAAGGGGTGTCAGTGTAAGATGGTGGCATCTGCCCAGCTACTCATGGGCCTCCTCCCTGCTCACAGTAAGAAACCCTGAAGCTAGAGGAAAATTCCACCCAGCACTGCTGCTGCCTTCAAGCAGAGGTCCTAGGCAGGTGGGAGCCTGCAAGGTCTCATACAGAGCAGGATGGACCTGGTGCGGGGGTCATAAGTACCCGAAGGCAACTTTGAGCCCCAAAGTGAGTCATGCTCTAGAAGTTTGATGCAGGGAAACTGGCATTACTCTCACCAAGGACTTAGAGCACGAACTTCCCCTGCGCCTGGCACACTTGGGCAGCCCCAGCCTCCAGGGACTCACCTCAACAACCACTTCATGGGCTTTGACAGCTCAGAACCCCTCACTTCTCTGTCCAGGGAGAGTCCCCCTCTCCAGGCCATTCCAATGGGGCTGACATTCTGCCCCCTCCAAGCTCGAAGGGTATCTCATGCCCCAGGCCTGTGTGCATTTTGTAATCAACAGTGACAGTTCAGGGATGATGTGGGCCAAGCTGAGCTCATCACAACTATCACGACCAATGGGGTGCAGCTCCGGGACTTTTTTTTTTTTTTTTTTTTTTGAGACAGAGTCTTGCTCTGTCACCAGGCTGG